GAATTGGATTACACAGCAAAAATAACACGACAAAATAGGAAGATCCTCCCTAAATCCTTTTTTGAAATGATAGAGGAATTAAATCTAAAAGATATATGGAGAGAAAGAAATACTAAAACTCAACAATATACTTTCTACTCGAATAGACATTCATCATGGTCCAGAATAGATATGATCTGGACGTCAACAGAATTATTATCTAATATTCAAGAAATAAATATTGAAACAAGTACATGGGCAGATCACAACCCAATGACAATTAAATGGAAAGGACAAAAAAGAAGATCTAGATGGACATTAAATAATACTATTTTAAAGGAAAAAGATTTTATACAGTGGATGGAAAAAGAACTGGCCTTCTTTTTTAATGAAAACAGAAAAGAAGATACTTCAATACAGAATGTTTGGGACACAATGAAGGCATATGCAAGAGGATTGATAATGGAATACATAAAGAAAAAAAATATTAGAAAGAGGCAAATGATTAAAACTTTAGAAGATGATTATAAAAAATTGGAAAAAGAATTACAGAGAATGCCACAGAAAAAAGATATTAAATTTAAAATGGATATAATTAAACATAAAATGGATCAAACAGAGAAAGAAGAACTGGCGCAAAAAATTAGAAGTGCTAAACAGAACTATTTTGAGGAGGCAAACAGGCCAGGTAGATGGTTAGCATACAAACTGAGAAAAGAGAAAGAATCAAGGAGAATACCACAGTTAATGGATGAACAGGGTCTAGTCTGTCATGGTAATAAGGAGAAAAAGAGAATTATTCGAGATTTTTATGCGCAATTATATAAGCAGGAGGATTTTGATGAGGGGAAAATTAAACAGTATTTACAAAATGCCAACCTACCCAAGATATCTGATGAAACTGGGAAAATGTTGGAAAATCCTATAACAATGATGGAATTAACTGAAGCACTTAATAGACAGAATAACGGGAAAGCACCAGGACCAGATGGTTTCCCGGCAGAATTTTATAAAACATTACAAGAATCACTGAGCATCCCAATGTTAGAAATTATGAATGAAGTTATGATAAATAAGAAAATACCTAAAACATGGTCAGAAGCTTATATTACGCTTATTCCAAAAGAAGGGACTGAACCATCACAAATTAAGAATTATAGACCTATTTCTTTATTGAATGCAGATTATAAAATCTTTGCTTCAATTTTGGCAGAAAGGCTTAAAAAATACTTAAATAATTTTATTCATTCTGATCAGAATGGATTTCTACCAAAGAGACAAATTAAAGACAACATGAGAGTAATTTTGGACACTTTGGAATATTATGAGGCACACTCTGAAAAGCAAATGGCTTTGATATTTTTAGATGCTCAAAAGGCATTTGATAACGTGAATTGGAGATTTATGTTATTATTATTGGAACAGATGGGTTTTGCTAGAAAATTTATTCAAGCAATGGAAGCTATATATTATAAGCAAACAGCAAAAGTGATGATAGATGGAGAATTTACAGACTCTATCAATATTAAAAAAGGCACAAGACAAGGATGTCCACTGTCCCCTTTGTTATTTGTATTGACTTTGGAAGTATTAAATAGAAATATTAGAGAGGATACAAATATAAAAGGAATGAAAGTTAAAAAGGAGGAATTTAAATTGCAAGCCTTTGCGGACGATTTGGTCTTTATTCTGGAAGATCCTCTAGAGACAGCTTTAAAACTACTGGAAAAGATAGAGACGTATGGTGAGATGGCTGGCTTGAAAATAAATAAAGACAAAACAAAGATTCTGACAAAAAATATGTTATTAAGGCAAAGAGAAGAGTTGGCAGACTTATTGAAAATTCAAGTTACGAATAAAGTTAAATACTTGGGGATAATTTTGACGTCAAGATGTACTACACTGAAAGAGAATAATTATGTTAAACTTAAACAGCAGATAGCATCTGACTTGAAAAAATGGGAAAATCTACAATTATCTTTGATAGGTAGAATCTCAACAATTAAAATGAATATTTTACCCAGAATTTTATATTTGTTTCAAACAATACCAATTAGGCTTGGTAAAGACTATTTTGATGAATTAAATAAAATGGTGTTGAAGTATATATGGCAAGGTAAGAAAGCGAGAATAAAACTAAAACTTTTACAGGATGCTAGAATTAGAGGAGGATTTGGCCTTCCTAATTGGGAGTTGTATTATCAAGCTGCAAATTTAATGTGGGTTAAAGAATGGATAACGTTAAGAAAGTCTAGATTACTGGCATTGGAAGGACATGATTTATTATTGGGTTGGCATGCTTTTTTATGGTATAAGGGAACTAAATCGCAGGGTTATTTCAGAAGGCACTATATACGGGAATCGTTATGGTTGAATTGGGAGAAAATTAAGAAACAATGTTATTTGAAAATTCCAGTTTGGTTATCAACTATTGAAGCTTTTTCCTATCCCATAATTTATAAGAAGGAACAAACAGTTAGATATGGGGAAATACTGGATGAAAAGGGTGAACTTAAAACGATGCAAAAGCTAGAAGAACAAGATATAAAGATGAATTGGTTTTCATATGCGCAAATACACTCAAGGTATCTTAAAGATTCTAAAACAGAAGGATTTTATGATAAATTGACTGATTTAGATGGGATTTTGACAGGTGCTGATGAAAAAGTGATTAAAAAACTATATAGTTATTTGTTGGAAATTAAATTAGAGGAAGAACAAGTCAAAGAAACAATGATTGTTTGGGGGAAGAACTTTGGATATGGGATTGATTTAGAAAAATGGCAAAAATTGTGGTCTCAAAATTATAAAATGACAATGTCAGTAGCATATAAAGAAAATTTGTATAAGATGTTTTACAGGTGGCATTTTCCCCCGACAAGAATAGCAAGAATGTTCAAGAATAAATCCGAAAAGTGTTGGAAATGTCATCAGATCCCTGGCTCATATTACCATATGTGGTGGACTTGTGAGGAGGCCAGGAAATACTGGACTAGAATTCGCATATGGTTGGAAGAAATGACAAAAAAACATATAGATTTGAAACCAGAGATTTTTCTATTGGGAATCTTACCTGATACATTTAATAAAAACTTAAAGTATTTGATTGTAAATGTGTTAACAGCGGCTAGGATTGTATTTGCTAGAAATTGGAAGAATGAGAAAATACCATTAGAGGAAGAAATTATTAAGAAAATATTGGAATGTGCTGAAATGAGTAGATTGACATTTGAAATTAGAGAACAAGAAGATAAACAATTCTATGAAGTTTGGGATCTTTTTTATCAATGGTTAGATAAAACAATATAATAATAGAATATATATATATTTTGGTTTTGATAATATTTTTAGAATATTATATTAAGATAGATTTGGTATGATTTTACGATTTGTTATAAATTAACTAAATTATAGTTATCTCGCTTAAGCATGAATTAGTTAAATTATAGTCAAATGATTGTTTAATAAGGATATTAGGATATATAATTGTTGATTGATAATATGAGTTATTATGTAACATAATTATTATGATGACTATGAAATAGATGCACAAAAAGGAGTGATAAACCAACCGATACACTGTCTGTAAATTTATGAAGAATGATGATGTTTTTATGTTATGTTTTATGTTTTATGTGTTTTTATTTGTTGTTAAAATCAATAAAACTTTTTAAAAAAAAAAAAAAAAAAGAAGAACATCACAATTGCTGCATGCATCTTTACCAATGAGAATAAGTCAGATATTGAATTGTTGGCAGCAAAATGTGCATTTCACCTTTTTAGTTCTTTCTAATTGGGCAAATGGAAGACGTAAGACAAGGTCTATACCAAAGGCAAGGCAGGGTGTCCAAAACCCTTTTCTTATAAAATAAGAATCTTGATATTTTAGCAGTGTTTCACTTGCAAGCTTTTAATGCTCCTTGATCTCTGTATTTACTTTGCTTCCTAGTTGGTTGAATAACATTTTTCCAATTTAGCTTAAGTTGTTCTACAAACTAAATTTTATAGTTTATGATTTCACTTTGGTTCATAATCGTGATCTGCAAGAAAAAACCCTTGTTTCTTAGATCTGTCAAGTTTGCAAAATTATTGATACCACAAGATGGCAGTTAAAAACTTTTCTCTATCTCTATGTTGCCATCTAGTGGTCATTTTTAGATACTGAAGCATGTTATTGGAACCCATGTTCACTTTTTTAAACTGTGGCTAATCACTTATATGACACTATACAATTCTGGTTTATTCAAGAAATGATTGTTTCAAAAATGGTATCTTACTTCATTGATTAGTCCCACCCACCCCTTTTTTTTTTTTTTTTTTAAAAAAAGGCTTCTTGGCTTCTTGTCTTCTTAGCTTGGCTCAATGGAAATATTTAGCTTATGCTAATTTTTTTAATCATCAAACACTCTTCCTCTGAACTAATTAGACAGCTTCTCTGACTCCCTAAAACATTTTACATTGTTGCTTCTGCACGGCTACCAGGAAGCGCTTGGGAAGTATTGCTGTCATTTTTCCAAAAATCTTGCTGGCATTTTTCTAACCACTTAATAAGAGGCTCTCAATAACATTTCAGACAAAATAATGATTATTTAGAGTCATGTTTCACACAATAGTCATTTGTTCAAATAAGCATGCTGAGCCAAAGAATTTTGTTTTGGGAGAAAAGTTTTAGATCTGCACATGCTCCAGATCTGGATTACCGGCCCCTGCTGGTTTTCAGATTTTTTGTTTCTGTTGGCCTTTTACCCTCCTGCCAAGTGAGGCCATTAGAAAACACATCCCTTAAATGGCAAGTAGCCACCAAACAGAAGACCACCAAGAGGCTCAATTTGGTCCATAAACAGGGATTGTATATAAATTCTGCAGCTGCACTTGTATTTCAAATTAAAATGGTTGGGGTAAGTCAATTCTATAAACATGTGATGAATGTGCCACATAGTTTGGCTCTTGAACTGCAGTGGACTGCAAAACACAACAAACAATCTCATTTCATTTTCATAAAAAGAGTTCATTATATTTACCACAGACAGGGATGTCACAAAGTTCTGACTTGAGATTCTCATCTAAGGTGAAGCACCAGGGTGCCTCTTTCTGATTGCCTGGGTTTCGGCAATAGGAATGGCCTCCATTCAGCTCTGGGTACCTGACAGCAGTGAATGTGTGAGTGTGGGGATACTGGGAGTTCCATGGCTGGCACTGTCGCCCAGATTTTGTTACACTGATGGTCCCCCGATAGTCCATTCCTGTGCTGTTGAAGCATTTGTGATCTGCAACAGAAAGATCATTTTTCTGTGATGCATTAAAAGAACACATGTCTATGGAGATTCTCAATCATCCAGGTCATTGTTGTCCCAAAGTGTTTTTCCCGCCCTTTCAAAAGGCAACTGGATTTTCTTGGTTTTTTTCACCCCCTTGAAAATGTTTCACTATTCAGTTCTAAATAACTGGTGGGGAATGGAAATTGCATCTATGACAAGTTGTACAATATTAAATGTTCTCTCTGGATGAGTTTCTTTTCTTTCTTCTTGTTTATGACTTGAAAATTAATTCAGTTTTATATACGGAGATGTAACAATACTCTTTTTAAAACTTACACACTTCTTTAAAATAGTTTAAGAAATATGCAAAAGAACTCAAAGCTTCCTCAAAATCTTGAAACTAATCCCTTATCTTGGCAGGAGAAATTATGAAACTTAGTATTTATTAAGCTGTTTTAGAAATAAGCCACTTGACATTATTTTTGTTTAACTTATTTGTTAGCTAACATAAACTTCACTCAATATCAAGGTCAGTTAACACAATTTGTAACTGCCATACTACATAGTAACAATTAAATTTTTTTATTAAATGCTTATGCCATATATCTCCCTTACAAAATAACAGCACTAATGTTTATTTCAATGGAATAGCTAGAAGATATTTTAATGAACAAATCATGATATACCAGACATTAAATGGAACAGAATAATATAAAAATAACTGCTGATTTAAAATATTAAAAGCTTTCTTCTAACAATGGGTCCCTGCAGATTTTACTCCACTAGTCATAATGGTGGTGCTCATATTTATTTCTCTTCTAACAATATCTCTGATAAATTTAATCTGCTTAGTGAAAGATATTGGCTGTAATAATCAGACTTTGACTCTATCAACTGTGCCCTTGATCTGTTTTAGGGATATCTCACATACAAGGCAATGTAACTGCCACTTACTTTTATTGATTGGATCTGCCATAGGGATGCCAATACGGATGCAGTTGATAGCTTCAGGGCTATCAGGCTGGGGAAGATCTTCACAATTCGGCAACTTCAACCGCATCAAAATCATAGGATTGGATCTTGCAAATATGTATTCAGTTTGGCAAAGCACGTTTTCCAGAATCTCGCACTCGTCCCGGCACAGATCTCGTGGTTTTGCAACGGAAGAAGTCTCATCACAATATGGGAAAGCATAATGGCACAGCGATGGAATAGCAAACTGTGAACATTTATCCGATAAATGACTGGAAGTTCCAATCATTGTGAAGGCAGCTGCAGCATACAAATACCAAATCAGTTGAGATAGTAGTAAATTTATAGTAGAACATATGCAATAGCAACTACTTCCAAATAAAGACACAATAAGAAGTATGGTTTGGGGAGAGATAAGCATATATACCGTATTTGCCGGCGTATAAGACGACTTTTTTGCCCTAAAAAACATGCCTCCAAGTGGGGGGGGTCGTCTTATACGCCGGTAAATACATTGTCACTCGGTGCAAGAGCGACGGGGGCGGAGCTCCGCAACTTGCGAAGCCCCTTCAAGCCCAGCCGAAGTCTCTCTTCCTCCTCCTCCTCCCACCCACCCACCCTCCGCCCGGCTCGGGGCGCTTGCGGAGGCCAATCTGGAGGTGGGGTGGGGGTGGAGCGGGAGGGTCTCTGGCGGGGCCGCTTCGCCCAGCCAGCCCCGAGCCGCGTAATGGCCCGGGGAGTGGGGGGGGGGGAGAAGGTGGTGGGGGTGGACTGTGGCGCCCCTCCTTCTGGGCAGCGGGGCGGGGGCGGCAATTTGCTCCTCCCGCTTCTCCCTCCCTCTTTGAAAGACCGGGAGGGCTGTGCTTGGGGCGGGGGGGGGTGTCCTCAGGAAGTTCCTGATGGGACCCCGCTGGGCAGGGCCACCCGGCTCCCGAGCTGCTTTCCAGGGTCCCCTTGGGAAGAAAAGGGTCCGGTGGGCGGTGGAAGAAGGCGAGCGCCCTCCTCCCGCCCCCTGTCCCGTCCCGTCCCTCCTCTTGTCCCCTCCTCCCCTCCCCGCTTAAGAGAGAAAGATCTGCCTCCCCTGCACCGAGCTTCCACCCGGCGCCGCGTCTCCCGGCCAGCGCGCGCTTGCGACTTGGGAACCGGCCAAGCGACTTTAAAACCGAGCGGAGGCCAGAGATAGCCGGAATTACCCTCCACACCACACACACACACACACACACACACACACACAGAGAGAGAGAGAGAGAGAGAGAGAGAGAGTTGGCAGCTGTCCATCCCCCACCCTTGGAGTCCCGATGGCACGCACGCGGGGGCTGTCACAAAGAAAGGGAGAGGAATTGAGTGCCAGCCTGAGAAAGGCGAAGCTGCCTCTCTAAAGCATTTTGGTGGCTTTGTAAGTTTGGGGGAAAGGGGTTGGGGGTGTCAATCAAGAATTATATCCAGAATACCCCAAGTGTTACAACTTACCGTATTTGCCGGCGTATGAGACGACTTTTTTGCCTTGAAAAGCATGCCTCCAAGTGGGGGGGTCGTCTTATACTGCGAGTATATAACAAAAACTATATTTTGAGTGGAAATGTTGGGGGCTCGTCTTATACGCCCAGTCGTCTTATACGCCGGCAAATACGGTATTTTGTATTCAGATTTTTTGTATTCAGAATATAGTACTTTACTAAGTGCAGTTTATATTAGCATCTGCTTTCCTTTCCATTGATTGGACTGGGCTGTCTTAATTACTCTTTGATTGAGTGATTAAGTATCAAGTAGGCCCCAATATTTATTGTTTGGTAAGTATGTGATCTTGCTTTTAAAGAAAATTAAGTTTATGCAATTGGAAGTCCACAAGTAAATAAGATTAAGAATTAAATTTAATCAATTATGTATTCCAAAAACATGGCTGAAATCAGAATAAAATTATGATAAATGCATTATTTTCCAACATGCTCATGAGAAAAGCTAAGAATAAAATTAAAATAATATGCAGGCCTGTTTTTTTTTTTACTATCTTTCTTAATGTTTCATTTTCATTGCAGCTTTTCAAAATGAGTAATATATTTTTTTCTTCTAAATATACATTGCTCAAAAAAATAAACGGAACACTTAAACAACACAATGTAACTCCAGGTCAATCACACTTCTGTGAAATCAAACTGTCCACTTAGGTAGCAACACTGATTGACAATCAATTTCACATGCTGTTGTGCAAATGGAATAGGCAACAGGTGGAAATCATAGGCAGTTAGCAAGACATCCCCAATAAAGGAGTGGTTCTGCAGGTGGTGACCACAGACCACTTCTCAGTTCCTATGCTTTCTGGCTGATGGTTTGGTCACTTTTGAATGCTGGCGGTGCTTTCACTCTAGTGGTAGCATGAGATGGAGTCTACAACCCACACAAGTGGCTCAGGTAGTACAGCACATCCAGGATGGCACATCAATGCGAGCTGTGGCAAGAAGGTTTGCTGTGTCTGTCAGCGTAGTGTCCAGAGCATGGAGGTGCTACCAGGAGACAGGCCAGTACATCAGGAGACGTGGAGGAGGCCTTAGGAGGGCAACAACCCAGCATCAGGACCGCTACCTCCGCCTTTGTGCAAGGAGGGACAGGAGGAGCACTGCCAGAGCCCTGCAAAGTGACCTCCAGCGGGCCACAAATGTGTATGTGGCTTCTCAAACGGTCAGAAACAGACTCCATGAGGGTGGTATGAGGGCCCGACGTCCACAGGTGGGGGTTGCACTTACAGCCCAACACCATGCAGGACATTTGGCATTTGCCAGAGAACACCAAGATTGACAAATACGCCACTGGCGCCCTGTGCTCTTCACAGATGAAAGCAGGTTCACACTGAGCATATGTGAAAGACGTGACAGGGTCTGGAGACGCCGTGGAGAACGTTCTGCTGCCTGCAACATCCTCCAGCATGACCGGTTTGGCAGTGGGTCAGTAATGGTGTGGGGTGGCATTTCTTTAGGGGGCCGCACAGCCCTCCATGTGCTTGCCAGAAGTAGCCTGACTGCCATTAGGTACCGAGATGAGATCCTCAGACCCCTTGTGAGACCATATGCTGGTGTGGTTGGCCCTGGGTTCCTCCTAATGCATGACAATGCTAGACCTCATGTGGCTGGAGTGTGTCAGCAGTTCCTGCAAGACGAAGGCATTGATGCTATGGACTGGCCCGCCCATTCCCCAGACTTGAATCCAATTGAGCACATCTGGGACATCATGTCTCGCTCCATCCACCAACGCCACATTGCACCATAGACTGTCCAGGAGTTGGGGGATGCTTTAGTCCAGGTGTGGGAGGAGATCCCTCAGGAGACCATCTGCCACCTCATCAGGAGCATGCCCAGGCATTGTAGGGAAGTCATACAGGCACGTGGAGGCCACACACACTACTGAGCCTCATTTTGACTTGTTTTAAGGACATGACATCAAAGTTGGATCAGCCTGTAGTGTTTTTTTCCACTTTAATTTTGAGTGTAACTCCAAATCCAGACCTCCATGGGTTGCTAAATTTGATTTCCATTGATAATTTTTGTGTGATTTTGTTGTCAGCACATTCAACTAAGTAATGAACGAAATATTTAATAAGAATATTTCATTCATTCAGATCTAGGATGTCTTATTTTTGTGTTCCCTTTATTTTTTTGAGCAGTGTATTTTAAGTGCCATAGAATATATTCTGTTGAACATGTAAAATTAACATATAGTACATTAAGGATCTGAAATACAGAATTGTAGATTATAACAAGGATTATGACAATCTAACTGAAAATAAGAGAAAGCATTTTTTTTAACTTACCAGTAATTTGATTTTCTATTTCTCCTTGCATATGCAGAGATTCCATATAAATGGTTCGATTTCCAATAAATCTTGCACATGCAATTCCCCGATATGGTTGACAAAATCCATCCTCCTCATATTCATCCCTAAAATCAAGCAGGCATAATGTATAATGTAGAACTGTATTGTTAAAGAGCCATTTTGGTGTGGTAGTTCAGGTGCTAACTAGGAGTGAGGAAATCTTAACTCAGGACTGTCAAACCTGCGGGCCAGATCCGTCACGCGCTGGCCATGCCCACGCTTATTTTAGCGAAGGGGAAACAGGTCATGATACGTCACGTGAAGCTGCCATGATGACTCGAGTTTGACACCACTTCCTTAACCGGACCACCCTTTCTCTCTCAGCCCTAGGAAGGAGATTATGGCAAACCACTTCTGAAAATGTTATCCTAAAAATTGCGTGGATCTATCCAGGTCCCCAGGAGTCAAACATGACTTGAAGGAACATAACAAAAACAGTACTATTATTTCTAGAATTATTCACAAGAGAAATTCAACAAATATTAAATGGGAAGCATTCCAATTTGCCAATTGTTAATATTTTCTCAGCTCCAAATCATTCAGAATTGCTGTAGTAGCTGAAAACCATCACAGTCTTAAAAAAAACCTCCTGAGTATCGGTATGGTTATATAAAGTGACTATAGAAAAGCATTAACTTTATGATGCATCCTTCATTGTAACCATATTCCATTTTGTCCAACCAATCTTTTTTAGATATTCTACTAAATCAAGTTAAGTAATTATATTTTTTCTCCTGATTTTCTTCAGTGTTTTGATAGCCATGATGGATAGCTGAGCTGAGCTAGAGTTGCAGTGGCAAAGTTGTAGGCAAGGTTTACAGCATTCCTACACAATGCTACTCAGCTTTATTTGATCTTACCTAATGGTGTTTTGCAGGGAAGAATGTGACAGAGAAACTTTTACAGCTGGGTAGGACTTATGCAATGTAAATAAAAACTGATATTTGAAGCTGGAAAGAGCTACAGTTGCTTTAAGAGGATAAATCTTGGATTACGATACAGTACTATACTATACTATACTATACTATACTATACTATACTATACTATA